CCCGCGCGCCGCGCCGCGGTGACGCCGGCGCCGGCGCCGGCGGCGGAGGCGAGCCCATGGACAAGCCTCGCTCTGCGGTGGCGCCGCCCCCGGGGCGCCGCGGCGTATTTGTCGGCAACCTGCCAGGCGCCGTGACCGAGCGCGCCCTGATGGCGCTCTTTTCGCGCTGCGGGCCGATCGACAGCTTGTGGATCGCGCGGGACCCCAGGAACCAGGTCAGCCTCGGCTATGGCTACGTCGTCTATTCGGCTTCCGACCCGCTCGCCCACGTGCGTGCCGCGCGCAGCCTTGACGGTGCAAAGTTGGACAGGCAGGCGGTGCGCGTGCGGCCGTCGGACCGCGACTTCGGCAGCCGGGGACCGCAGGGCCCGGCCGCCGCCGCGGCCGCTGCTCATGCGCGCGCTGCGCCGCTGGGGCCAGTGGCCGCGCGGCGGCAGCCCGTCAATGCGTGAGGGCCCAGGGCTCGAGGGTTGGGGGCATGCACCAGGGCCGTGGCCGCGTTGCGGCCCATCTTTCCCCTTCAGGGGCAGCTCTTGTTTGTCCCGCCCCCCCTGGCTGCATGTCTTTCGCACTACCATCATGTCGTGTCTTTTTGCCGTGCTGATGCCTTGTGGGGCAAACATGTGAGGGATGCCCTGCCTGCGCGGAATCATCCCTTCTCTTTGACCCCCTTGAAACCCAGCACGGCGCCGACACGCTCTGCTGGCGCCCCGGCGCCTCTGTTTGTGGCCTCACGCACCCCTTACCATGGCAGCATCCAGCAACACCGGAACGGGGGACTGTGTGGTGCCACGCCGCGGCGCAAGTCTTTGGTCAAAGGTTGCCGACATATGGACCGAAGAACAGGAGCGCACGGCTCACCCTCCCAGCTTGGCAAATTGTGCCTTCAAGGCGTGCCTGCTCACTCTGAACCCGCACCAATTGGCCCACATTGGAAGGGATCAACGGGCCGCGCCGCTCTGCTTTCGCCCCTCCGTACGCCTCAGCGCCTCCACGCCTGTGTTTTGCTGTTCTGTGAGGGGTGACCTTGCTGCATTTGCCGTGTTGAGGGGCCCGCCGCGCTGCGCTTGTGCTGCTGTTTGTGGGAGGTGCCGCGGCGCGCAAGCGTGGCCGCTTCTTGCTGTGGGTTGCTGAGCATGTCACACTGCTCGCGTGGCGACAGTGCGCAGACTCGGGCCAAGCGCTGGCCTGCAGATGCGGCTCCTGCAGCCTCTCCTTTGCTTGTGATTGTCTGGTGGCCGTTTGCGGCGCTGTGTTAGCTCATGAGAGTTTGGTTGTGCCTTGGCGACGTGTGTTGTATGAGCACTCTTGCCACCCCTGCCTACCTTTACCCGCCCTGCCGCCGATTGGCCCGGTTCTTGTGCGAGCGCCCCAGGCACTGCTTGCAGCTAAGGAAACCTATGCTTCCGCTGCGTGGAAATCCCACTCATTGGATGCAGCGGGGTGCGCATGCCGCCTCCAGTTTGAGCCCAGGTCTCCTGCGCCCCGACGCGCTTCACCCCCACACAGACCCACACAGATTTACCCTGATTGATGATCGCACCGCGTCGTTTTGAATCATGGTGATGGATTGAGCAGGCAAAGAGGCACTGCCGTGTGGCTCACCTATATCACTCCCACCTGCACGCACCACGACCATCATCCGCATTTGCTATTCGCCGTGCGTCGTACGCGCGGTGTGCTGTACACAACCTCCCTTTGTAAAGTGGCGTCCCAAGCTCGAATGGTTGTTTGTGTGTGTATGTGTGTGTGTGTGTGTGTACACGTGCCTGCGCACATGCACATGCTTGCCTACGTAAATGATGTTTTTGTGAGAATGTGGTGGTGCAGCTGGACAGGCAGACATCGGGGAATTTATCAGTGAGGCCAATCACTCCAGAAGCTGGTGTGCGTGCCAGGCAATCCATTGGTATCATAATACTGTATACCAGCTCTCATGTTGCGAAGCCTCTAAAATTACCCTTCCCCAGTAGATCTGTACACATGCTATCACAATCCTTCAGAGATGAGGCTGCTGTAGATGAGACTGCCAGACAACAAACCGTCGGTGCCCTGCAGTGCAGAGCTGCTCAACCTGGGTCAACGGGCATTTCGCGACCCGCAGAAAGGGGCCTGATCGTTAAAATTTATTCAAGCTCGACAAAATTGCCTATGTAGTGTTATAGCCACACAACCTGCCTGGATCGCGGAGTGCGCCTGGTGACTGCTGTCGGTCGATACCGATGCAGCCAGGAAGGCTGGTCGAGGAGACATTTTGCATATCAGTGACTTCCTGCCAAACAACATACAGGACGTTTCCAAGCTCTCTCAGATCGGGCTCTGTGGTGAAGTTGTTTTTCATCGACACCATCGCGGTGCCCTCAAACAGGACTACGGATTAGTGGCATTTCATCCAGTGTCGGGATATCGCTTGCGGGTTGCAGCAGGCAGACGCGGAGAGGTGCCATGAAAGCGGCGGCCAAGGGCGACAGTGGCGCCGCCGCCGCCGCTCAGCTGAAATCTCTAGGCCTTCAGCTACGACAGGACTCCAGCCTGATATCGTACATATTTATCAAGGCCCACCAGCAGAGCAAGGAGGATGACGACCAGCAGCAGTCACACGCGGCACAGCAGCAGCAGCAGCAGCAGCAGCAACAGCAGCAGCACAAGCACGCCGTGTTTGTGACGGGCCTGCCTCTGGGGCTCGAGGAGGATGATTTGGCCGCAGTGTTCTCGTGCTTTGGAGATGTGTCCCAGGTGGTGCTCCACCAAACCAAGGTGCGCTGACCACGTTCATGATCCTGTTTGCAGGCAAACAGCTGGTGTTGCGGCTGGACGAAGCCCATGCGTGTTCTTTCTCCGCGTTCTCAGTCTGTAGCAGCCGGTGTTGCCCACTGGCTGGGCAACACCCAGCCAGTCGGCTGCAGCTGCGGCAGGCAGGCCGGCGCCCTCGCCGCAGGACCGCCGCAGCAGCCGAAGGGAGGCGGAAGGGCAGGGGCATGGCCTTTCTCGGCAGCTGCAGCCTGAGCCTGCTGGGCATTCGCCCCGCTTTCCCTTGTGCGCCTCGGCCGCTGTGCAGTGCCGGGCCTGCGTTTGATGCTTCTTGCGCGAAGCGCGTGCCGACCCCACCCCACTGCCACTGCAACGGCCCGCGACCGCAGCGCTCCGGCGTCGTCGTCTTTGCTGAGGCGCGCGGCTCCGCAGCGGCGCTCGCGGCGGGCGGCAAGGGGCAGGTGATAGAGTACGAGCCGGCCTTGCCGGAGGGCCCGCGCGGCCTCAAGTCGTGGGTCCAGGCGCACAAGGCCCAGCGGCCGGGGACGGCCCACCTGCAGAAGCGGGTGCGTTGCTGGGAGCGCGCCGCGCCCGTTTCCGTCGCGCGGGCGCGGTGCGGGGACGGCAGGGGCCGGCTTGCTTGAGGGGTGAGGGCTTGCAGGGTTTGCCGGGGCCGGGGTGCGCATGCATGTACCATGGCAGGGAGCAGCGCGCAGCGGATGTTGCTGGTGCGGTCGCCCCCTGCAGGTTCCGTGCCGTGTGGCTGCAGCCACGGCCCCAGTAAATTTAAAGCGCTTTCGTGCTTTCCGATGTTTGCAAGCACTCCGCGGCCCCCGTGTGCGCGTTACGTACACGCACGCACGAACGCATGCAAGCGCACAAATCCACACACACATGTACGGCTTTTCCCACACATGCACCATTCACATTCACACATCTCACACATCCTGCAAGTGAACACATTCACACAAACCGCAAGTGCATGGACACACACATGTACGCCTAGTCACACCTTCACATCATAATGCACGCGCGTGCACGCGCGCGCGCACACACACACTCACGCACTCACACGCACACACACATACACACACACACACACACACACACACACGTCCTCAGCTTGACGAGTGGGTGGCTGACTGGGAGGAGCAGGAGGCGGCGCGCCAGCGGACGCGCGAGGCGGCAATGGCGGGCGACGGCTGGACCGTGGTGGTTCGCACCAAGGTGGCGGGCGGATGAATGGGCGGGGAGGGTGGCGCATGACATGACACGTCAAAGTTTGCGAGAGAGGGCCTCGTTTGGCTCGGACTTGGTTTGTGTGGAGATGGGGCTTTGAAAAAAGGGAGAAGCTGGGGGTTCTAATTGGCAGGGGCCCTCTTGGCGCCGTTGCCTTGGGGTTTGACTTTGGGTGCCCCGCGGTGGGCGACGTGCTCGCCCTTGGTGGTATCTAGGAGCGGCCACGGGTATGCGGACGGCGGCTGCGGCGGGCCAAGATCACTGACTCGCGCCGGTGCTTGCAGTACCCTGCCAACCCAAACCCAGCAACGGCATCACCGCCCTGTGGCCAGGGGCGTCTCAGCAACCGCTCCGCGAACACACCCCCTCTCCCTCCCCGCACCCCACCCCTGCCCCGCAGGGCCGGAAGCGCGCGCGTGAGGCGGCCGGCGTGAGCACAGTCAGTGGCGGCGTGGCGCAGGCCGCAGCGCAGGCAGCGGCGGCGGGCGGCAGCAAGGGGAAGCAGTACGAGGACTTCTACCGATTCCAGCAGCGGGACAAGCGGCGAAACGGTGGGTGCTTGTTTAACTTTTTTGGGGCGCTGCGCGGCCACCTGGTATCGAGAGTTCCTGGGCTGCACGCGGGACAGGGCAGCTGGGCAGCGCGCGTCGTGCGGCTTTGGCGTCGGGCTGAGCCGGCGCGGCTGCCGTCGGGGCTGCAAGGGCGGGGCTCACCTGCCGCTCTGTTTTGCTGTCCTTGCAGCGCTTGGCTCATCCTGCCACCAACCCCATTCACCAACCACCAACAAACCCACCCCTATCCAACCAACCACCTACCCAGATCTCGTTGACCTGAGGAAGCGGTTCGAGGAGGACCGCAAGCGGATAGCGGAGCTGAGGGCCAGTCGCAAGTTCAAACCCTGCTGATGCCGGGATGCTTTTTAAGGAAGCGACCCATGCCTGCAGTGTGTGCTGAACGGCCGACAATGCAGCGCTGTAAAATGTGACTGCTTGAGCCCTGGTAACCTCTGTGGCTGAGTGACAGGCTCTTGCTTGTGCGGGCAGGTCTGTGACTCCTTGGTTGCACATGCAGCCTTGGCTCGGTTTCTGCCCTGTGCGGCAGCGCTGTTTAGAGTCCTTTTAGCCAGTGGTTTTCAGGAAGCTGTCCAAGGTTACCGCAGCAACACCGATGAGGGCGGGGCCAGGACCCCATGCCACATTGCAATTCGCATGCAGTGTAGCTTGCCGGCAGGGCGGGTGCGTGACGGCCGATGTGGGTGCGCCTGCTGCTAGGTCAAGTTGATGCCTACGCCTGACAGCCACGCACACAGCAACACGCGTGGGCTCTTCATGTGCAGAAATATGAAGAAACATATGCCTGGGTCAAACAAGGATCAAGGTCGCCACTGCGAGTTTTGTCGTTTTGCAGCTGCACACTGTGCTGTTCATGACGCAACACAACCAAGGGTGACTACAGGATGCGCCGGCGCTGTTGAACTTCCGGTGCGAGGGCAGCCCACGCCGCAACTAATGCCTAAAAAACAGCGTCGGCGGCAAGGATCGACCCCCCGTCACCATCAACCCGAGACGGAGCCGGCCTGGGCCAAGGCCTGGGCCCTAGCGTAGGAATCGCCGTAGCCAGAGGACTGCGCGATGGCCCTAGCGTCGGCGAGGGCCTTGGGGCAGGGCACAGGGCGTTGCGGGGGCGGATCGGCTCTGGCAATGGTGGCGGCTGGTGATGACTGAGCGTTGGGTAGATGGTGGTGAAAAAGCTGGCGAGCTCGCACAGCTCAGAAACACGGGTTTGCGACGGCGGATGCAAGGGACCCTTGATTAACTTGGGGTGTGAGACGTGCATGGCTGCCCGCTGAGCATGCGTGAGTCCATCATGCGTAGATGGGCTGCCACCCGTGTCCTCTGCGCCGCACGCTGAGCTGCGCGCGTGGCGTGGCTGCTGGCGCCACTTCCTCTGCCTGCACCCGATCACTGCCGGGCCCCACCTGTGCTGAGTTGCCACCGGCCGACTGCGCGTCGGCGAAGGCCTGGGCGAACGCGCGGGCGGCGGAGTCGCCGCCGGTCGCGATGGCCTGGCCGACAGCCTTGGCGTAAGAGTCCAGGTAGCCGCCAGCCCTCGCGCCTGGAGGCGCGTGGGTCAGTGTGATCGATTGTGTGGGTGAGTTTGATCCGGGTGCATGGGGGAGGGCGGTCATTTGGCGGTCAAGCAGGGCTTCGCTGCTGGGCATGGCGGGCCAGCCGGGTGATGCAGAGGGCGGGGCTCAATTACTTGGTGCCTGATCAACTTGCTGCGAGTGTTGCGCGTTGCGAGCGAGAGCCGGGCATGCAAGTGAGACCTGCCACTTTGCGGCCACACCGCGCTTGCGCACGCAAGGATAGAAGCATATAATGGTTGCGAGCCTGTGACAAAGTGTGACAGTTATGTGTCAGAGATCTGTGATTTCCACCTCAGGATATACAATTGTTCACAGGCACTCGCCTGCGAGGGCCTGGGCCTGTGACCTGGCGAAGGCGTCGCCGTTGCCGCTGGAACCGGCCTCGGCCGCTGCGCGCGCGAGCGCGCCCGCGTCGCCATAGCCTCCGAAGCTGCCGGCCTGCGCCGAGGCGCGGGCGTCGGCAAACGCGCCGGAGCCGCCGAATCCGTCGTCGCCGGAGCCGGCGCCAGCGAGCGCGGCGGCCCTCGCGCCGGCGAAGGCGTCTTGCTTGAGGGCGCGCGAGGGGCCGGCGGCTGGTGCGCGGGCGGGGTG